GGACACGTGAAAACAAGTAGTTCGCTCGAGACATCCTCAACACATCTTCATGTGAGACGTCCGCCTGGGTGACCTGGGCACGTGAAAACAAGCGTTTCGCTCGAGACGTTTTCAACACCTCCTCATTCTAGACATCCGCCTTGGCGACCTGTACACGTGAAAGCAAACGTCTCACTCGAGACATCCTCAACACATCTTCATGTTAGACATCCGCCTGGGCGACCTGGACACGTGAAAACAAGCGTATCTCTCGAGACATTCTCAACACATCCTCATGCTAGGCATCCGCCTGGGCAACCTGGACACGTGCAAACAAGCATCTCGCTCGAGACTTCCTCAACACCTCCTCATTCTAGACATCCGCCTGGGCGACGAGGACGCGTGAAAACAAACGTCTCGCTCGAGACATCCTCAACACATCTTCATGTGAGACGTCCGCCTGGGTGACCTGGGCACGTGAAAACAAGCGTTTCGCTCGAGACGTTTTCAACACCTCCTCATTCTAGACATCCGCCTTGGCGACCTGTACACGTGAAAGCAAACGTCTCACTCGAGACATCCTCAACACATCTTCATGTTAGACATCCGCCTGGGCGACCTGGACACGTGAAAACAAGCGTATCTCTCGAGACATTCTCAACACATCCTCATGCTAGGCATCCGCCTGGGCAACCTGGACACGTGCAAACAAGCATCTCGCTCGAGACTTCCTCAACACCTCCTCATTCTAGACATCCGCCTGGGCGACCTGGACACGTGAAAACAAGCGTCTCGCTCGAGACATCCTCAACAAATCCCGGCGCTTGACCTCTGCCTGGGCAACCTGGAGGCGTGAAACCAAGCGTCTCGCTCGAGACATCCTCAAGACCTGGACACGTGAAACCAAGCATTTCACTTGAGAGATCCTCTAAATTCGGGTCCCCAGGAGAAAACAATCTATAACACAAAACAAGCGTTTCGCTCGAGACATCGTCAACGAATTCTGAAAAACAAGCGTTTCGCCCGAGAAATCCTCAAATTTTAATTCGCCGGCCCTCTTCCCACTCGTTATTTATCGCGAAAGAATTCCGCCGGCCCTCTTCCCGTCAAAACCGTGTGGAAACAAACCAAAAGAAAACCCTGGGCCTGAAGCCCTTTCCGGGAACATGATCGACCCACGAACCCGGAAAGGAATATAGAAATGTAAGACATGGCAACGTTTCAAAGACACCTGATTGGGCGACGGGCACATGCAATGCTTAGTGCATCGGTCTTGATGTACCGTGCCGACGGCTGTGCTGTGCTACGCCGTGCTGAATTGCGATGTGCCATGCCGCGATTGTGCTCTATATACAGCGTTGTGGATCGAGTCCTCCGTTGCATCCGAGTCCTAACCGAACTGATCTGGATCTTAAGCTCGAGCTGCCTGAACACATAACTAGTAGCTGCCCAAGAGCTGATTGACAAGGGAACATGCCAGGAGGACGCGCCGCGGAACGTCCCAAGGGACGCACCAGGCGACGTGCCAGGGGACGTGCCATGGGGACGCACCGCGGGACGTGCCAAGGGGACGCGCTACGGAACGTGCCAATGGACGTGCCACGGGACGTGCCAGGGGACGTGCCGCGCGACGTGCCAAGGGGACTCGCCGCGGGACGTGCCACGGAACGTGCCAGGGAACGTGCCAAGTTGCAATGCTGAAAGTATCGATCTTGATGTACCGTGCCGAGGGCGGTGCTGTGCTGAGCCGTGCTGAACTGCGATGCGTCATGCCGCGATTGTGCTCTATAGTGTTGTGGATCGAGGCCTCCTTTGCATCCAAGTCCTGACCGAACTGATCTGGATCTTAAGCTCGAGCTGCCCTAGCACATAGTAGCTGCCCGAGAGCTAATTGACAGGCGAACGTGCCAGGAGGACGCGCCGCGGAACGTCCCAAGGGACGCGCCAGGCGACGTGCAAGGGGACGTGCCACTGGGACGCACCGCGGGACGCGCCGAGGGTTACGCGCTACGGAACGTGCCAATGGACGTGCCACGGGACGTGCCAGGGGACGTGCCGCGCGACGTGCCAGGGGGACTCGCCAGGGGACGCGCCACGGAAAGTGCCAAAGAACGTGCCAAATTGCAATGCTGAATGTATCGATCTTGATGTGCCGTGCCGAAGGCAGTGCTGTGCTGCGCCGTGCTGAACTGCGATGTGCCATGCCGCGATTGTGCTCTATAGCGTTGTGGATCGAGTCCTCCTTTGCATCCGAGTCCTAACCGAGCTGATCTGGATCTTAAGCTCGAGCTTCTTGAGCACATAGTAGCTGCCCCAGCGCTGATTGACAGGGAAACATACCAGGAGGACGCGCCAGGCGACGTGCCAGGGGACGTGCCATGGGGACGCACCGCGGGACGTGCCAAAGGGACGCGCTACGGAACGTGCCAATGGGCGTGCCGCGGGACGTGCCAGGGGACGCGCCGCGCGACAAACCTTGGGGGCTCGCCACAAGACGCGCCACGGAACGTGCCAAACAACGTGCCAAATTGCAATGCTGAGTGAAAGGATCGATCTTGATGTACCGTGCCGACGGCTGTGCTGTGCTGCGCCGTGCTGAATTGCGATGTGCCATGCCGCGATTGTGCTCTATATACAGCGTTGTGGATCGAGTCCTCCGTTGCATCCGAGTCCTAACCGAACTGATCTGGATCTTAAGCTCGAGCTGCCTGAGCACAAAGTCCACATAGTAGCTGCCCCAGAGCTAATTGACAAGGGAACGTGCCAGGAAGACGCGCCGCGGAACGTTCCAACGGACGCGCCAGGCGACGTGCCAGGGGGCGTGCCACGGGGACGCAACGCGGGACGTGCCAAGGGGACGCGCTACAGAACGTGCTGGGGACAAGCGTCGTGCTGGTGGCCTGGACACGTAAAAACACGGTGCCAGCTCGGGACAACCATGAGAGATACACCCTGGGTGGCCTGGACACGTACAAACACGTGGTTCCAGCTCGGGACAATCATGTTAGAGATCTCCCT